AATTTGTTATAACCTTCATTTATTCAAGAAGGATCAAATGGATAAAAGAAACGAGTGTTCAAGACCGTCCACGCCGTAGACGTAGCCGTATAATTAGAACTTATAGAAGCAGCTGAATCTGCCACGAAGATTTTATTACCAAAAAAATCAAGAGATAAGTACATGAGTAAAAACATCTCAAATCGAACTTTCGCGATAGGCATTACAAAAAATATTGTATGTAACATGTGCGGAGGACAACGAATACATCGCGCGTAAAGCGGGGAGCACACATTTTTCCATAAGGCATAATGCATAAGCATAAGAAATTGAATTGGTCCATGAACGTGCATAACGCATATGCATAAGAAATTCAATCAATCGAATTTCTTATGATTATGCGTTATGCGTTATGGAAAAGTGTGTGCTCCCCGCTTAAAGTTGCCGCATTCGTCTTAGCTTATGATGCATTCACACTCGTACTCCTGTAGTTACAGCACTCGCCTTCGGCTCGTGTTGCAAATTACATTTGTATTCGTGTGAATGCATCACAAGCCTTCGGCTCATGCGGCAACTTCACGCGCGATGTAATTCGTTATTTTCCGTACTTGTCACATAAGATATTATTTTCGTTAATTAGGAATAGTATCCTTAGTTTGGATCTCTAATTCCTGTATTCCCTTTTAACCCCCTTTTGCTAAGCAACAAAGCTATATATAGGCGAGAAAAATATCGGTCCGAACTGCTTAAATTCTATTATATAATTATTAAGTATTTTTATGTATTATGACTCTAAAGCAAATTTTCATCTAAGATGCAGTTATAGATAATATTTCTATTATTTATATGTATTTATATGTATAAAGATAAGATGTCAAAATTTCATCTAGATTATCATCTAATTTTATTTAGAGAACAGCAAACACTGATTACAACTGTTAATATCAAAGTGTATATTTCGAAAAATTTTATTTTGATTGTCAGGACACAAGATTTCAGCGTTACGCGTCGTTTATATAAAAGCAATGCAATTTGTAGAATGTAACATTAACATCTCAATGCTTTTTGCACGCCTAGCAATTGCGTAATTTTGGAATGTCTTTTTCGCTGCGCGCTTATACTCGCGCGGATTGGTTGATCTTTTTTAATTAATTTCTCGTTAATTATTGCGAAAATTGCAAAACAGAAGAGAACTTTCTCACTCGGTTTAACCTTCTCTAATACCTGTATATGAGAAATTTGGCGATTATTATCGGATCCTGTAAATATATCTATAACTATATATTGTGATTAAAAAAGTATGCAATTTGTAATGTACAATTATATACTGTTTTTAATAATTATATTATTTTATATTAACTGATTTTTATCTTATTATTATATGTAAAAATTATTAAGGAAAAATTACCGAAAATATAAAACTATCGAGAAATAGTAACACATTATTTAAAATGGGACACCTTGTATGTACATATACATTACAAATATAAATTACCATAAGAATAATTAATAATATACATTACCACATATATATACAGTTAAAAAATAGAAAACACTTTTTAAAAATTACTTATTGCTACTTCCAGATCGCTTAAACTGCAAAAAATCATTGTGGACTAAAAATTAAAAAAATTATTTTAAAGCTTGCAATTTTTCAATTTTAACGCAGAATCAGTGATTTAAAAATAGTTTTATCTTTTCCTTCTGTGCTTTTAAAAAACATTTATAAAATGACATTATTGTTTTGTTCCTTATTATTATATAATTTTGACATTTTTCTTTGGACTTTTAGAAAATCGAGGTTTTTTCAATAATAATAAGATCTCAAAATTTTAAAAATGTTTTCTAAATAAAATTATGTTAACACAAAACGTCCCCTTCCAAATTCTACAACTTTTGTATTTTTTAATGGAAGCCTTTTAGTTTTCGAGAAATTTCAATCCGAAAATTAAAATAGGACATCCTGTATATATAAAATTTATTTTACCTTAATATGTTAATTTGAACATATAATTTTTTTCTGTTATGATTTAAATCAACACTGTACAATAAAATGTGTAAAAGCATATTATATTACGTCTGTGCGCAAATTGTGTTCAATACGAATAACAATAATAATAACTTGTAGTATTTGTAATTACTTTATTGTTATAATTACTTATGCTATTAGAAGTTTGTATATGTCGTAGGCCAATGGTTATTTTTAGCAAATAGCTTTTGACTAATCAAATGCTATGTCTGCCATGTCAAATGGTTTTCGTCTCTTTTCAAATGCTACTTTCCTAGTCAAATGTTATTTTCCTAAGTCAAATATTATTTGACTGAACCGCTGTTAGGCAAATGGTATTTAACATATACTTTTCCACGCGAAGCGAGGTTTCCGCATGAGTTTGAAACTTTCCACGCGAAGCGAGGTTCAGCCCAAACCTATATGTGTCTAGTTTTTTTATAGTGGAGCCCTCCGCAAGAGAGCCCACTGTGTCCACGCATACACTTTTCCACACGAAGGCAAGGTTCCACATGGGTTTACAACATTTAATGGGATTGTAACATTGTATATTATATTGTTTTATCTATTTTCAGTACGCAAAAGGGCTGCTAAACTCAAAGTGTCCCATTCGGAACAATTTCCAAATTTATTTCCATTTTCCTAAAAACATTCAGGTAAATACTATTTGCCTAGGAAAATAGCATTTGGACACAAATAAATGGGCGAAAGCCATTTGACATGGCAGATAGTATTAGACTAGTCAAAAACTATTTGCTGAAAATAACCATTGGCCTACGATCCGACATATATGTATATATATATATATATATATATATATATGTATATATATATTGTACATATATATATACAACAATTTTTAATATATTATTAATGCGTATTTTGTATCCAATCGAATTTGCTATAAATTAAAAGGATTATTTGATTTATTATTGCTTATTGATACTTTAACGCTTAATTGTCAGGACACAAGATTTGAAGATACTTTTGTTGTAAAAATAAAAAAACTATATATATATATATATATTGTATATTGTATCTTTTATGTTGTATTAAAGAAACTTTATTTTATTGCATTTAATATACATAAAAATATTCCAAAACTAACTTATACCACTGTCTTTAATTTACCTACTAAAAAACTATCACGCGTGTAGCTAAGAATAAATCCATATTGATGAATCGATAAATTCCTTATTTCTGATCTATAATTTACGAATGCAGTATAGACACGCATTAAACAACGATTCTACTTGCATCATATACCAAAAAATGAATGTAGCCATATAGTTCTAGCAGCTAAAATAGGTAGAAAAACACTATTATAAATATGAAAACAGATATGAAGTGTCGTACAAAAACAAGCGAGAATGACCGCTCTCAAGCTTCTCTCTATTGCAATGTTTTCAGAAACGTTTTCTCGTGCATGCGCAGTATAGTAACGATATGAAATCCAGCGATTGTGAATATATACAAAGTGACTCATATAAAATATTACAAACAAATAACTCTGAAAATATTTATATCGTTCAATCAAAAATTTGTTTATAAGAAAATTTTTCATAAAAGGCTCTTTCTATAATAATTACATAAACATCGCACCTATCCCCTTTTCAAGGAGAGCAAGGAACAACTTAATAATTTCAATTGAATTCCTTTTATATATATAAATGTACATTGGATTTTACGAAAAAAAAAAAATAAATTTTATCTGAAATATTTCTTTGAAAATATTTTTCTATTAAAAATTAAAACATTTAACTTTTAAAGTAAAGTGCATTCAAATTAATAATATTAAGAAAAAATAATAAATTGTACAAAGTAATACAAAATAAAAGATTTAAATTTTAATTTTCTATATAACTTTCAATTCTAATTTTTTTATAATAAAATATAATTTTTTTATTTTTCTGAAATAAATTTTATTTTATATTAAATATTAAGCTTTATAATAATTTTTTTTTATTGCTCGTTTCACATGGCCTCGCAATATTTAATAAATTATCATTGTGTTTGTTTACATACGAGCTTGAGCATTGCTATTAATTAGGTGATTTTGTATTATTTATTTATTGTGATTAAATATTATATTTTATTTTATTTTTCCTGAAAATAAATTTAATTTTTTTCATTTTCTTAAAAATTAATTTAATTTTACATTTTTAGAAATAGTTTTAATTTCAAAAAATTTTTCAAAAACAAATTAAAAAATGTTATATTAATTTTTTCATTAAATAAAAAATGTAATTAAGTAAAAAACAAAAATTATAAAGTTTTTCATTTAATTTATGATTTTATCATTAATTTGAATGTACTCTATATTATAAAGTTTAAATGCTTATAAGTTTTAATAGAAGCATTTTTTAAACAAATGTTTTACATAAAATGTTTACTTTCTCCATAGAATTTAAATATGTAACATTTTATATGGAGTTTTATTTGAAATTATGAAATTATCCCTCGTCTCCCTTGAAAGTGCTTTATATTATGTAGTTAAAAAGGCCCCTCAAAGACTTAAAACTTTCTCATGAACAACTTTTTGATTGGACAAATATTTTTAGAGTTATTAACTTTAACCCTAACACTCTTTTACCCTACACATACACACGAATGGACACGAAAGTCTCGAACTCCAGAGTAGATATATAGGTTAAGTATATTATAATAATTTTTTTCTTTGAGCTTTTCTCTCTTTTTTATATTAATATTTTATAAAAATTAATATTCTATAACTATATCTGCCTGCGTGTACATACATCGAGCAATATATTAAAAATTTGATTTGTTTTTACAAACAAACAATTAAAATTAAGTAATTCGTTTTATATAAAAATAATATATTTAATGCCAGAAATTTTCTTTAGCGAATACGTATATCGTTTTTTATTAATTTGCAAAACATTTCAGATTGATTATCAGAATATCTGATACGAATATCAGGTCTAAACAGAGCACCCTTTCTCTCACAAATTTAATACTTCATTAGATGTTCAACGCGCATGCGCGGAAAAGCGTCTTTGAGAAGAACACTCTGAATTTGCCCGTAACTCCTGTCGACATTTAATCGGAGTTCGGTCGAAGCGACCCTCGGATCGAGTCCTAATATTACAGACACGAGCTCCCAAAGGCCTACGATACACCGCGATATCTTTGTAGTGTCCGTAAGCTAGTAAATTACTAGAAATACATTCAATGGCATGCAGTATTTCTAGTAATTTACTAGTTCGCGTGTGATCTAATGAGAAAAATCACACGGAGACGATATTCGGAGTGAAGGCTGCTTATAATGAAGTTTGCCGTGTTTTCGATCAGTCTGGTACGGTTTGGTGTAATACGTGAAGTGCGCTGAATGACGAACGGTGAACGTGAATGAATACAGCTTAGAGCAGCGACGACCAGTTCAGCGATAACACGGTGCGGATATGGTCGTGTTGGCCGTATTGTATTTAGGTAATACGATTACGTATTTGTAGCACATATTTTCGTTTAGATAGGCAACGCATGACTTAGGCGCGAAGTTAGTCGAGAAGCCTTCTTTCTGTCAAGTGATTATATAGTATATTTTTCTACTTATCCCTTTCGCTTGTTTTCGCCCAAGCAGATAAAATATGATTTTTGCAAACGAGAGAGAAGAGTTTTTTTATATTTCTTTCTTTACATCAAATACTATCACATTACTATAGTATGATTCTATGAATTTTATTCTATATTCTTATTCCATTTAAAGCACTAATTCTTAGATGTATCGATCGGCTTCATCTCTCTCTCTCTCTCTCTCTCTCTCTCTCTCTCTCTCTCTCTCTCTCTCTCTCTCTCTCTCTCTCTCTCTCTCTCTCTCTCTTCTCTCTCTCTCTCTCTCTCACTCATTCTGTTCTTCATACCAAACGTATATGCATGAGCTTACGTCAACTATTTGCAATTTCTATTATTTCTTCTTTAAGTATGACATATATTTAAAATTAATGTGAAACAGAAATAAAAAGATTTACATAAGGTAAAATGCATTACTCCAATTTAAATTGTGTGTTTCGTCTTAAAATTATTTTATATATTTTTCTTATAAAAAGTCATAATTATATTGGAACAAATGCTATTTTTTAACAAATTACTATTGGAACAAATTACTATTTATTAAAAAATTATTATTAACTATAAATTATTAACTAGAATTTTTTCCCATTTTATATAGTTAAGATGATAAAGATAGAAAGATATGCGGAATTACATTGAAAATAAGACAAGATTTATTGGAACAATTATTTATTGTATACTTCAGATTATGCAAGGATGACAATTTTATAAAAGGAAGGAATTTTATCGAAGGAAGAGAGATAATCTTATAATTATAAAAATTTAAAAATTATGATAATTGACTACATTTTTTATCTTGCTTTTGTCTAATTATATTGGTTTGTTATTGTTACTAATTCAAATTCTATTAACACGTTTTTAACTGTATTGTAACTAATTTATTAGAAAAAAGTAGATTATAATATAAACATGTGTATATTTACACTTAAAAGTGCATTATATTGTACGTATTATAAAGCATAAAAATATATAAATATTATATATAAATATACCATTAAAAAATCTTCAAAGAAGAGAAATACGCGCCAACTATGTAAAAAATTTGACATTGTATGCAAATATGTCTTTGTAAAAATGTTTTAAGTTTGAAAATAAAATTAAAAAATAAATTTAGAGATGTACAGTTCAAAAATAAATAAAATCAAAGCTACTCAGTATATATAAATATATAAATATATAAATATATATAAATATATATATGAATATATAAACAGATAAATAAATAAAACAGAAAAATATATAGTTAAATATAATATAAATATATACTCATGCTCCCCCCCCCCCCTCACCCCAGAAATGATATCGAACCAACGTCGATTCGTCATTGAATCAACGTCGATTGAACGAATTGATATCAAATCGATTCGACGTCCATTTGTTCAATCATTTCTGATTGAGTGACAAAAAAATGGGCCACTAAATTTTAGCACAATTTTTTGACATCTTTGTATTGCGATAACTCAGTAAAAAAATCATCGTTAAGATAAACCAAAACTTAAATTAAAGTTTGAACATTTCTCTTAATAATATGAAAAACTAAAATTAAATTATAAAAATGTTATACAAAATGCGAACGTTAAAGGTAAGTCGTTAAAAAATTGATAAACATAAAACAATGTCTTTTTAAAATTTTTTTAAATTTTAGCTAAGAAAAATTGGTTCCCCGGTACAAAAAAATATGAGTTTTTAAACTTATTAATTTCCTAACAAATCCATGTTTTAGAAAATTTTTCGATGATTTTTTAAAAAATAAAATTATACCGTTTTGAAAAAAGTTGCAAAATTTTTTCTTGTGAAATCTGTAATTTAAAAAGAAATTATCGTGAAAAACTTTTTGAAAAAGGAAATTAAAATGTACACTTTAAATCTCGAAACTTTTGTGCCGATAACAAACATAAATTTGCCGATAATAAATATTTGTTTAGACAAAATGTAAAGTTTAAATACATAATTCTACAAAGAAACGTATCATACATATTCTTTTCTTCAATTTCTTTTTCAAAACAATAATATTTTAAAGAATTATAAGAGTTATATATATCTTTACTTTAATAGATCCTAGAAGAGGTTTGGGGTTAAATCCCCTTTCCCTTCAAAATTAAAAGAAATAATATTGTAATCCAATTTGCAAAAATATTTTTTCTAGAAAATCAATAAATTTCGTAGAAACCATCCCCTATTATCGATTTGCTAGTGTGTGTGTGTGTATACACACATACATACTAATAATGTGTTTGCGTGCGCGCGCGTGGTATGGAAAAAAAAATAAAAAAAGATAAAAGAAAAGAATTAAAAAAAAGGAAAGGTAGTAAGAAAGGGGGGGGGGTGAGAGGGAGGAATACGCAATAAAATATTGTATTATTAAATTTTTAAATAATTAATATTTAGAAATTTAATTAAAATCAGTTCATTAGATTGATGCGAATAAGATTTATTTCTAAAAATGTTGATATGTTGAAAATGTTATTATATACAATTAAAAGTGCAATTATATATGTCGCAGACAAATGGTCACTTTAAGCAAATAGCTAGTCAATTGCCGTATCAGTTGCTTTTGATCACACACAAACACACACACAGGTTGGGAGGGGAGGGCTTTGACACTCTCTCCCCCTCTCTCAACCATTCCGTCCATTTCTCTCTCTCTCTCTCTCTCTCTCTCTCTCTCTCGGTTTTAGAATACATATTTTCAAGTTTGTTGATTTCCTCGCGAATTTTTGTTAATAATTTAAAATAAAGCAAAATTTTTCTCATTAATTACATAGAATATTATTTACATCTAAAATAAAAATTTTTTCACAATATAATCGAATCGAATAGATAGGTTATACATTTTATTCAGATACGTCACACCACTCTATTTATCAATTTAATTTTAATCAGTTATCAGAAATCGATATCTTTATTTAAAATAGGACAGACACGTGTACATGCGTATGTAAATAAAGTGGCATATATAAATATATTCAGAGCATATTAAAATCAATGAATAGAAAAAGTAGAATATGATTATTCCATTTATTCGCAATTTTATAACGCTGAAATCATGAACAAAATGCAAAATCATGAACATCATGAACAAATGCTCTAAAATATAAATTAATTTTTCTCTTTTTGCGTTTACGATTTTATTTTTCTTGGTAGTCAATTTTAACGTTGCTATGATTAGAGTCACATTTGTAATGGAATTTGGTTCTTTAAAATAATACTTTAATCCATTAAATAAAAATTGTAATTAGTTCTGTTAAACTTAATAATTGTAAACAAAGAAGGGCAATAAGAGCTATTAAACATAATACAGTTGTCAGATGATATTAATAAAATTTATTTAAACAAAATAATAAATACATAAGAAATAAACATTTATGCGAACGTTTCGGCTGACATTTCAAGCCTTCTTCAGCGCAATACAAATATTTGAATTATAAATTGAATTGTAATATTAAACATTAAAGACGGTAATTAACAATGTCAAGATAATACAGTCAGTTGTTAATTACCGTCTTTAATGTTTAATATTACAATTTAATTTATAATTAAAATATTTGTATTGCGCTGAAGAAGGCTTGAAATGTCAGCCGAAACGTTCGCATAAATGTTTATTTCTTATGTATTTATTATTTTGTTTAAATAAATTTTATTAATATCATCTGACAACTGTATTATGTTTAATAGCTCTTATAGCCCTTCTTTGTTTACAATTATTTAATCCATTAGTTTTCTTTAAACCCCATTAATTGGAATAATAATTATATAATAATTATATAATTAATACTCTTCATCCAATATAACACTAAAACAAATTTCATTATTGTACATATGTTTGTAGCAGGCGGAACGATAAGTTTATTCGCAAATTGCTGCATTAACAAATATACTCAAATGGCGAAATTATAGAAATAAGTACTTATTTTCCGAAAATAGTCGCCTCTATAAATCATTTGGTAATTAGTGTTATTTGAAACCTTTACCACACCTTTTTCCTTCCAATCTGACCTATATAGAATCTAAAAGGTAGGCGCGGTATCCCTTTATTTTGGACTATAAATAATCTCTATAATAACGAAGAAAACGATACAATTGAAAGATTAATCCGATACAACTTGCGGATCGTTTTGCGTCACGAAGCTTCTTTTTTCTTATTTGTAAAACATGTTTGTAAAAAAGCAGAAATTAATTTTGTTATAAACAAGCAAAGTATCATTTAGCGATAAAAATATATACTTCAGCATGATTCGGTTCTTCTCCTTTAGAATGAAAATTTTTTCCTGACTTTGGGAACAAAGTGCTCATAAGATTCTTATTTTTTCTAAAAAGAAAAGTGAAAGAAAAGATTAAGTCGCTCTCTCAACGTTTACGTTAATGCGCGGAATACGTACTGTATCGCGATCTCATTGCCAAATATGGCTAGCCGCGGTATTCTTAGCACTGCTCGAGCGCGAACGATACTCGACGGAGCTACCCGACAAGTGCATACTTCTTTTGTCATCTTTGTCTTCGTTTTTCTTTTTTCTTCATTTTTTTCTTATTTTTTTTATTATATTAAAAAAACTTGTGTCCTGACTTAACATAATATGTGATATCTAAAATGGAAGCTAAAATTTCGAAAAAATTAATTATCGCTTTAATAGTCATTAACCTAATTAAAAAGTGCAAAAACGGGCTCCAAAATGACGGAAAACATGAATGGGACGATCCTCAGTTTGATAAAAAATAATATTTAAAAAACATGTTTTCTGACTTAACATAATGATATCTAAAATGGGGCCTAAAATTTGGAAAAAATTATCGTTTTAATGATTGAACCTAAGTTTTTATTTTTTCAATTTCTACTTGTGTCATTATTATCGTCATTATCT